CCATCGTATTTGATTGTATGGATGGTGTGTTGATATGACCTGCAACGTAATTGTCCTTAAGATGAGGAAAATAAATACATTAATTAAAAACCCAGGCTGATCAGAATAAGTTAACTTGACACAGTCATTAAGACTTTGTGGTTATTCTATTGGATGAGTTGCATTCTTAGAATTTTTTTTTTTTTTCAGACATTGAAATCGACACAAGCTATGGGAGAGGCAATGAAAGGAGTGACAAAGGCAATGGGACAGATGAACAGACAGATGAACTTGCCATCACTGCAGAAAATTATGCAAGAATTTGAGAGGCAGAATGAGAAGATGGAATTGGTAACTGAAGTGATGGGTGATGCGATTGATGATGCTTTGGAAGGAGATGAAGAAGAGGAGGAAACCGACGAACTAGTGAGCCAAGTTCTTGATGAGATTGGAATAGACATTAACCAAGAGGTACTTATATCAATCTGAACTGTACATCTTCCCTCTCCACTGTGATTGATGAAGAATTAATTTTTTATTTATTTATCAGTGATAACAATCTTTTGTTTACTAATCTTCTGCAGCTCGTTAATGCGCCATCAGCTGCTGTTGCTGCACCATCTGCAAAGAACAAGGTTCCACAAGTGGAAGCAGCTGCAACTGATGACACTGGGATAGATAGTGAGTTACAGGCGAGGCTAGACAATTTAAGAAAGATGTAGAATCCATCTCTTGTATATGATTGGCATAGTGTGAAAGGTGAGATTTCTTTTGGGCCTTGTAATATCTGTGAAATTTATCGAATCAGGACTCCAGACAGAGATATTAATAAAATTACATTTGATAAATTTGTACACAACAAACATGTAAGAATGTGGGGTATAACAAACCCATTTATGTCTACTGCCCTTCTCCCACCCAGCAAGCATTTAGCCTTTCTCTACAATGAATGGAAGTGTGGAAACCTAGGTTGGTTGGGAGAAGCTCTTTCGATGTTATAAGCCTAAAAAAAGTGCTTTAGAAAGTGCTTACGAACAAGAAAGTGGATGTACGGTGGCTTTCGGGTGAGTTCTTAATTTACTTGGTAAGTAAGCTTGAGCTGCGCCGAAGGTTGCATTTTATATGCACATGTTTTGTCTTGGCGATGTCTAGTATTGTTGAGCATTGGGAACACAACGACGGAGCTAGAATTTTATTTTGTGGAGTGACTTAAAAAGGACCAAATAATAGATTTTTTCTTTTTCTTTTTCATTTGATACAATTACAAGTCTACGATACAGAATTGTCTTTGCAGAAATCACATGATCTTTGTAAATGTGATCATCTGACATACGTCATGACTTCAAATGTTCACTTTGAACTGATCAGGTTGACAAATTTTTTTTTAGGTGGCATTTTCGAATAGGGTAATGATTTCCCCACTCCCATTTTGACCACTTACACTCCTTTTTCAGTTATAAAATGGAGTGTAAGTGGACAAAATTGGAGTGGGGAAATCACCACTCTTTCGAATATTCAGATGAAAGAAGTAAAGTGTGGTCTGCAACTTACAGCTAATATGGCTAAGCACCAAAAAATTCAGTATCATATACAACAGTGGGCAGACATTGCCAGTTCAATTTGGATACAAATGAGAGGAAAAAAAATATACACTGTCCACCTAATCCTTGTTTTCTACCATGGAAATTTCTTGTTATCCCCGTCCTACTTCACAACCCAACAAACACCAAAAACCCAAGACTAAGAAATGGAAAATTTAATCTCTTTCTTCTTCTATCTGAAAATGAAAACAAAACTTCAAACCAGCAAGACTTCTCTGGAATTGTCCTCCGGCGTAGTCGTTAGCTGTCGATGACACCACGAGCTCACTGGCACCGGAGCCCGGCAGAGGGGGCAGTCATAGTGAGAGTAGAGCCACATGTCTATGCAAGGAGCATGAAAGGAGTGCTTGCATGTAGGCAGCTTCCTTACCTCTTCTCCATCCTCAAACGCTGACAAGCAAACCGCACATTCAACATAGTTGTCAACACCATCTTGTTGTGTCACCGATCCCTCTTTCTTCTTGTACTTGAAGCTGTCCAAGTTCTCAAAGCTCCTGCTCCGCCTTGTTCTGTTGGCATCCATCAAAGTGTTTGATGATCTCGACGGTGGTGATTGGCCGCCGTGGCGGTTTGAAGTCAATTTGATGAAGACAAGGTTGTACATGGCCAACACTATAGCAGCTGTTCCAACAACTATGAGGCCATAATACAACATGGGCAAGTTGTTTTTTGGTGGAGGAGGAGGAGGCGGTGGCTGTGAGAAAGGGCTTTGTATTGTGTAAGCCTTGTAACCCATGTTTGGGTTTTGTGAAGAAAGTAGAAGCAAGAGAAGTTTTAGAGAGGAGGGGCTTTAAAAGTAGTAGCTAGAACTTGTATTTGCATAATCAAGAAAGATTCTCTAATCTATTTGTGTTAATTAAACTTAATTAAACTAATGACAAGTCGTGAATCGAAAAGCCGTGGTGGTTATGTAGTTGTAGAAATAATACACTTGTTTATAATTCTATGGGGTAAAGAATAATTGAATGAAGACAAAACCAGGCAAGGTTGGATGAGAGGGACTGAATTTGTAGATAAGAATTTACAACTAGTAATTAGAAAATAAGATATAATTATTCATCCCGGCGATTGTTTTATTAACTAAATCTTGTATTAATTGTATTTTTATTTTTTGGTACCCGAAGGGCGGGATTAATCCCCGCTCGGGGTATACTCAAGTAGGATAATGTAATTATATTGGACAAGTGTATTTCTAATGTAATTTATAAATTAAAATAAAAAATAAAACATATCTCTCCAATTTCCCCATACTTTCTCGGTTTTCCTCCTCTCGCAGCTTACCGTATTCCTCATGGTGTTGCCTAATTTCCGCAACCAAACAAACCCAGCTAGCGTACCGTATTCTTGCTTAATTTATTTTTCTTCTCCTAAACCAAAATGGGAAACATATCTTATCTTACTCTCATTAATTTCCTAAAACCAAGTTTCCAACATCAAATCAAACACTTAAATCAATAAAATTTGGTCAACTAATACAAAGTAAAACTGAAAAAGCTTGTAGTAAAAGAAATCCTTATAAGAACATGATCAACACCAAAAAAAATCCGTAGAGAATTCGAATCCAAGTCAGTCGATCCAATGGCCTCACCACTGCCATCTCTTCCTTCAGAAATATTTTTTGATCAGATTCTAACACGAACATCACTCGAAAGCCTAGGCCGGTGCAGGCTGGTTTCAAAGGACTGGAACCACATCACATATGACTCAAGGTTCTGGATGGAAATCTTTTTGCAAGAGAAGCGACACCGTATCGGGGTTTTTAATTCAGAGCCAGAGCCAGATCGACGGGAAGCACATACAAACGTTTGTGTCTGTAGATAACAAGGCCAACAAGAATTTTTCACACGCTATTCTCGACTTCTTGCCTGTCCCTGTCAAAATTGAAGCTGTGAGTCAAGGCCTAGTGTTTTGTGTGAACCACGAACCACGTGATTATTTTATATGCAAACCTACCACTCTACAATGGGAGAAGTTACCAAATCCAAAGACTAGGTTCTTGACTTCAATGACTGCCATGGCTGTGTTGAGTTCGAAGCCTTTAAGGTACAAGATTATTCGGTTCTCGAGCCACAAGAATCCTTTCTCCAAGTTCAAGTCAAGACTGTACTATAACATGACATGTGAGGCGTTTGATTCAAACACTTGGGCATGGAAGCGGTTGAAGAATGTTAGTTTACCCTATTGTGTTTTATTGGGCATCGACCAGCCTTATGCAACATCATGCGGCGCGTTCTACTGGCTTGTTCGGCTTGCGAGGATCAACCAAGTGTTTGCTTTTTATTACGGAGATGATAAAGAGAGTTGGGAGATTTTCAATTTACCACCGCCGATGGAGGAGAGTGACCGTTTTGATTACAAAAAACTCGTGGAGTACCAAGGTAGGCTTGCATTGATCATCTGTGAAAGAGAGGTCATGGACTTGTGGGTTATGGAAAATCATGAGAAAAAGTTATGGAGCAAGAGGAAGACATGGACATTGAGCACTAAAGTGTTTAAACAAGTAGCGGGCTATATTCCTCCTCTTACAGCACTTTACAAAAGTGATATTGCACTTATAAAAGGGCGCGACAAAAAACTCATATTTTACAAATTTGAAGATTCTAGTGCTAATGTGGTTAGTCTTGAGAATCAGCCCCATGAAGTTTCGAAGCTGCAATCGGATTCTGAGAAAGTAAATCTGAGGGGTTGATGGAGATGGCAAGATTTTAGTTTCATCTTGTTCTTGTTTGCATTTGGTTTGTTTTGTTCTTTGTCTCGTTACTTCTTAGGTTTCTAAACTTTTCCGGTCAGAGTCGGTGTAATTTCCAATTTGTAAGAAAATAACCCCAAAAAAGGGAACAAATTAAGAGAGAAGCAGTAAAGCTTTGGTTTTAGATAGTGCAGAGAGAAAAGAAAATAAAACTTTGGTTTTTTTTTCTTCTAATTAACTCGGTTTTCTTTCTTCCGTTAGAGGTGGGGAGATGAATTTCTGGGATCTTTTGGAATTTTGGTTTCGTGGAGTGATTGACACAAGGGTAAAACAGGAAAGAAAAATTTAAAACAAAACTTTTTGCGTTTCTGAAAAACAAAGCCTCGTGTGTGTATGTATGTTGATAAAGAGCGAGTTTGAATTTAGCATTCCCCTTTGTGACAAGGAATGTAATTTTCTTTGTTTCTCGTTTCTCGTGTAATCCTAAACCCAACTAGGAAACAAATTCTCAGTCTTACTAATTTCCTATCTACCTAACCTAGGGACTTGTTCAACCAGTTTCTTTGGTCCCAAGTTTCCTACATCAAATAAAAGTTGTATAGGAAAATGAAATCCAAAAGCTTGTAGGAAAAGAATTCCCAAAACGATTGATGATTGATGTTCTCTATATATAGAGTTCGTCAGTCCAGCCTCTTTCTGTCTCCAAGCTTATGTCTAGTCCATCGTGCTAGTTCAAACTTTGGACATCATATGTGTGAAAACAAAAAACACCTACATAATAGATTAGCAGAGGATCCGAATCCTATAATCTTGTCTACGTCTTTCTTTACTTGCTCCAATGGCCTCTCCACCATCTCTTCCTTCGGAAATATGGTTTGATCATATTCTAACGCGAATTGAATCCCTCGACAGCCTAGGGATGTGTAGAGTGGTTTCAAAGGACTGGAATCACATCACATACGATTCAAGGTTCTGGCAATTGTTTTGCAAGAGAAGTGACACAGTGCACTCTGGGTTTTTAATTCAGACTTCGCACAATGGCAAACACTCATCAACGTTTGTGTCTGTTGATAACAAGGCCAACAAGACTTTGAATCTCCCAATACTAAACTTCTTGCCCGCCCCTGTCAAAGTTGAAGCTGTGAGTAGCCAAGGTGGCCTAGTATTTTGTCTGAACCAAAACCATCGTAGAGTACCCGAATATTTTGTGTGCAAGCCTACCACTCTACAATGGGAAACTTTACCCAATCCAAAGACTAGGTACATCACCCTAAGTAACGCCATGGTTGTGTTGAGTTCAAAACCTTTAAGGTACAAGATTATTCGGTTCTCGAAGCCCGTCAAATGCAATCCTCAACCATATAAAAATCTCATCACGTGTGAGGTGTTTGATTCAAACACTTGGGCATGGAAGCAGTTGAAGCATGTTAGTTTGCCTGATTCTGTTTTCCTCAGCCTCCCGCATTGTGTAACATCATGTGGCGCGTGTTATTGGCTTTTGACGAACAAACAAGTGCTTGCTTTTTATTACGAAGATGATAAAGAGAGTTGGGAAATTTTTGATTCACCAGTGTCGGTAAGTGATAGTGACTGGTCCAAGTACAACAAACTCGTAGAGTATCAAGGTCGTCTTGCTTTGATGTACTTTGAAGGAGAGTTGATGGAGCTATGGGTCATGGAAGATCATGAGAAAAAAGTATGGAGGAGACACAAAGTGATCAGTCTTAAAGGGCTTAAGGAACTAGAGGGGCATGATTATGCTTATATTTTCCCTGTAGCACATTACAGCAGTGATATTGCACTAATGAAAGGGTTGAAGCAAGTAAGTTTTTACAAATTCCAAGGAAGTTCCAGTTACAAAGTAGTCAAGCTAGAGCATAAACCTAATGAAATTTTCAAGCTGCAGTCTGATTTTGAGAAGGTTAATTTGAGGGGTCCATGGAGATGGCGAGATTTTAGCTTCATCTTCTTTGTGTTTGGATTTAGTTTGTTTTGTTATTTTGTGCGCTTTGTATTAGGTTTATAATTAACTTGTACTTTCGTAAAAATTAAAAGAAATGTATGCTTTATTAGAATTAAAATTAATGTGTTTGATTTTTGGTTAATTAATTAATTTCTTCTGTTTTGATCGATATAGCCTACTTGCAAAGCCTACAGGCCACATTGACTGGAGGCTTGATGTAGGAGGGAGCCATTGCCAACTTCTGTTCAATTCATTGATTCAACAAATTAATTGATCAAACACATCTGACTTGGAAAAACAAAAACACAGCTGTGAGCATAAACTTATTGCAAATTTGCATGACAATTTAAAATTTATATTTATAGAATATCGCCGCGCGGCTATACTAGTAAAATTTCTATTAAAAATTCCCTTTAAAGAGTATAGCCGATCGGCTATTTGTTTAAAAGTACTATTTATAGAGTAAAGCCGCGCGGCTATACTATTAAAATTTCTATTTATAGAGTAAAGCCGGACGGCGATACCATTAAAATTTGTTCTAAAATTTCTATTTATAGAGTAAAGCCGGACGGCGATACCATTAAAATTTGTTCTAAAATTGCTATTTATAAAGTATGGCCGCTCGGCTATACTGTTAAAATATTCTATTTAAAGCGTATAGCCGGGCGGCTATACCGTTAAACTTTCTATTTATGCAGTATAGCCGGTCGGCTATACGTTTAAAATTTCTATTTGGATGAAAGCAAGATGGAAGATCATCTGCAATATTCATATTAAGCAAGACCTTACTGATTTGGATGAAAGCAAGATGAACCAAGCATTCATGGTAAATAAACTCATCTCTTTCATCACTCTGCAACTTCCCATCGATCACCAGAGCCTAAATACCAACAACAACAACAAAAGAGAGAAAAATGTCAGTGACCAATTAATTGATATGTGTGTGTGATTTAGAGTCCTTATTGTGAGAGCTAGCCAACCTTTCCAAATCGCTTTGTGTCCAAAAGAACTATGTCTTGGAACTCGCTTGCTGCTGCATGTAACACACTGTGTGTGAGAGAGAGAGAGAGAGAGAGAGAGAGAGAGAGAGAGAGAATCAAAACCAGTACTAGTATTGTACAAAATGAACTGATGATTTAATTTGCATGTTGTGATTTCTCTCGGAATTGATTCACCTTGCAGCAGAAATTCCAAAAGATTCATTAAAATGTAAAACCAGTTAGAAGAATTGGTTTTTTCAAAATTTTTTTCATGTTTGAATACTTGAAGGCGTACCCATACAAAGCAAAAGACCATTTGAGATCAGCTTCCAGCTGCTCCTCAAACCAATCAGCATGTTGCTGCTGATCAATTCCAATTGGGGGGTTCTGATAATTATCCTCCTCAGGGATTAATTCAAACTCAGAGAAGTGTTCCTCTGGAGGCAAAGGAAGAGAACCATGAGAGCAGCACACAGAAATGACAACATTGATGAGCACAAGTTACAACACAGAGAGCAGAGTAACGCCTCACGGCTATACTATTAATATTTCTATTTATATTGTAAAGCCGGACGGCTATACCTTTAAAAGTTCTATTTATAAAATATAGCCGCGCGGCTATACCTTTAAATTTTCTATTTATAGCGTATAGCCGCGCGGCGATACCTTTAAAATTTTATGGAGTATAGGCGATACCTTTAAAATTCCTATTTAAATATTCTAGCCGTGCGGCTATACTCTTAAAATTTCATCTCAAGCTTCTTATCTGGGATTGCCCAAGCATGGAAGCTCCTATGTTCTTCTTCTACTACTTGTTATTCTTCTTCAGAGTCCTTTTTTGCTAGATAGGGATGAACTTGATTCGACACCCATAGACATCAATTCTTGTGGGCGAGCTAGCTGGGGAACTATGACCAAATGTGTTTATACCCAAAAAGAACAGCCAATGAGAACAAGACACGTGGAAGAAATCGAGCCTGGTCAGGGAAGCCTTCGACACCCTACCTACCGATCGCTCCATTAGGGCAACACCCTCTCCCGGGACATGTGGCATGCTCACTAACGACGTCCATAGTCCCACATTGAAATTATCAACAAAGTGCACACCTCCCAAGGCCTATAAAAGAGGCCAACTACCCCAAAAGAGAGGTAATCAGAATTTACGTCATACAAGCCTATTGATCTGTCAGTTGAACTTTCTAATCCTGAACTTACTTAAGCATCGGAGAGCCTTCGGCCGGTACCACACCGGTGCCCTAAGTCTTACCGAGCGTTTTCTCATATTGCAGATCGCGCTCCCTACCGAGGCATCAAGGATACCGAAGGCGTAAAAATTACTAAGTTGACCCTTAAAAGTCCTGAACCACTTTTTGGCGTCAACAAAATGCATTGTATATAACAGAATTGTATGCCATCTGCTTACTGTAAAGATGAGAACGGCTAAGGCTGGCACTGTAGAAGAGATTGATCCCCAATTTTACAGCCTAGTTCCCATTCCCCACAATGGCTTCCTCACTATCCAGAGCTGCTGAATCCTCTTCTCATCTTCCTCGGTGGCATCCTTGAACATCGTTTCATTCCAGAGATAACTTATTCCCAGTTCTTCTGCCATTAATTTACTTCATCCTCTATCCGCGGGTAGTCTGCAAATGTTTTTTTTGGTAATCAGAGGAATAATTAGAGGATAAATGATAGGCATAAACGGTATTAGTTACTTAATATTTTGAAAGATCCAAGACAAGTAAAAAAAAACAGTTGAAGAACTTCTTGGTGTAAAGAACACAGTAAACAACATGTATCATAAGTTTCTCCTTCACGCAATCATTTCATAAACTAATGGCAAGTTAAAATAAAATATTCTATTTATAAAGTATAGCCGCGCGGCTATATTTTCAAAATATTCTATTTATAGTATATAGCAAAGAAACTAGTTTTATATTTTAAAGGAAAACCTCTCCTGACGAAATTGCGTCGGCAAAGGACTATGCCGGAAAATATTTGCCGGATTAGATCTCTCCCGACGAAATCTTCCTGTACCGACGAAATCTTGTCGGGAGAGGTTTTTTTAAAAACTTAGTATCTTTAGGTCAATAAATTTTTATTTTAAATTTTCTTTTTAGTAATTAAATAATATCTTAGCCTTATTTATTTACTTTCATTAGTAATTATGTTTTAATTATTATTTATGTGGTGAATAATTAGTATTAAATATTTTAAACTTCATAAATTATATTACTTGATAAATAGTAATTATTTTTTATAAATTTTTTATTTTAACAAAATATTTAAATACTAATTATTCACTAAGTAAATAATAATTAAAACATAACAACTAATTAAAGTAATTAAAAAGGAGAAATCTAGATTATGCTATTTAAAAGGTATAGCCGCGCGGCTATAATCTTAAAATATTCTATTTATAGCGCAGCTATCTATACCTTTAAAATATTCTATTTATATAGTATGGCCGTTCGGCTATACCGTTAAAATATTCTATTTTTATAGTATGGCCGTGCGGCTATACCTTTAAAATATCATATTTATATCCCGGTGGCTATACGGTTAAAATATTATATTTATAGAATATAGCCCCGCGGCTATACTACCACTTGTTAAAATCTACCTCGAAGCGCACTAGGGTTTATCTGGTTATGTCGTACTAACCTTATATTGAGATCGAAACCCTAACCGTAGAACCCTAGATCAAATTTGACCAAAAACAAAAACACGATGGATTTATTGTGTTCGAATTATATTGATTCCACAAACTGAACAAAAACAGTTGTGACTTGGGAAAAACAAAAAATTGAAAGACAGCTGTGAGCGATTTAACTCGTTGCACTTGGATGAGGATTATTTCTCAAAAGGAATGTAATTTTTCTAGGTTCTCGTTTTTAATTTAATTTTTTTTGGTTCTCCTAACCCAACTTGGAAACAAATTCTCACTCTTCCTAATTTCCTATCTACCTAACCTAGGGACTTGTTCAACCAGTTTCTTTGATCCCAAGTTTCCTACATCAAATAGAAGTTGTATAGGAAAAAGAAATCCAAAAGCTTGTGGGAAAAGAAATCCCAAAACGATTGATGATTGATGTGCTCTATATATAGAGTTCGTCAGTCCAGCCTCTTTCTTTGTCTCCAAGCTTATGTCTAGTCCATCGTGCTAGTTCAATCTTTGGACATCATATGTGAAAACAAAAAACACCTACATAATATATAGATTAGCAGAGGATCCGAATCCTGTAATTTCGTTGACCTCTTTCTTTACTTGCTCCAATGGCCTCTCCACCATCTCTTCCTTCGGAAATATGGTTTGATCATATTCTAACGCGAGTTAAATCGCTCGACAGCCTAGGGTTGTGTAGGGTGGTTTCAAAGGACTGGAATCACATCACATACGAGTCAAGGTTCTGGCAATTGTTTTGCAAGAGAAGTGACACAGTGTCAGGGTTTTTATTTCAGAATTTCTACGATCACAAACACTCATCAACGTTTGTGTCTGTTGATAACAAGGCCAACAAGACTTTGAATCTCTCAATACTAAACTTCTTGCCTGCCCCTGTCAAAGTTGAAGCTGTGAGTAGCCAAGGTGGCCTAGTATTTTGTGGGAACCAAAACCATCGTAGAGTACCCGAATATTTTGTGTGCAAGCCTACCACTCTACAATGGGAAACTTTACCCAATCCGAAGACTAGGTACTACACCCAAAGTAACGCCATAGTTGTGTTGAGTTCGAAACCTTTAAGGTACAAGATTATCCGGTTTTCGGATCCCAAATCTCCAGTCAAGTCTCAACTATACCAAAACCTTATAAGGTGCGAAGTGTTTGATTCAAACACTTGGGCATGGAGGCAGTTGAAACATGTTAGTTTGCCCTATTCTGTGTGCTTGAAACTCCCCCGGCGGCCTTGTGTAACATCACGTGGTGCGTGTTATTGGCATCTGACGAACAACCAAGTGCTTGCTTTTTATTACGAAGACGATGAAGAGAGTTGGGAAATTTTTGATTCACCAGAGCCGATGAGTGATAGTGAGTACTGTGCCATGTACACCAAACTCGTAGAGTACCAAGGTCGTCTTGCT